TTATAGTAACTAGGGGTGTTTGGTATTGATAAAACCCATAGATCAATGATATAGAATAGAAAGTATACAAGTAGATCCCCACTTTTCAGGCCAGGGTGTGTGTGGTGGCAATTCATTTCCACAGTGGTGTGCCAAGATAATTCGACAAGAAAAGCAAAGTCTTTTTCTCAGCTTTCATGGGCATTTAACACCAAGAACTACGTGAAATACTTCCTGCAGTCCATTTCATGGTACTGAAGAAAACCCAAAATTTTATAGATTTTATCAACTAGAGGAAAGGTAAAAAGCATTGCAGGGAAATAAGGGAATTCTGCTTATCTTCAGTGGTCCTGTTAGTTGATACAGATAAAGAATCAAATTTAAAATCAACATTGCAACAGGATTGCAAAATTACCCAATCCAGGAGAGCAATGATGAAAAAAATCTAAAGCAAAAAAAATTTAGCTCTGTTTAAAAAGATACAGAAAGTCACACAATTATGATGTTATTCATAATTTTATTTCCCAAAGCTAATATGTCTAGTATAAATTGTTTTAAATGATGAATGTTTTAATAGTATTTATTGTTCTTATGTGCAAGCCTTGGTGTTTCAGGAAAATAGATAAAAAAAGAAAATAGGCCAGGCACAGTGGCTTACACCTGTAATCTCAGCACTTTGGGAGGCTGAGGCAGGTACATCACAAGGTCAGGAGATCGAGACCATCATGGCCATGGTGAAACCCCGTCTCTACTAAAATACAAAAAATTAGCTGGGCTTGGTGGTGCACGCCTGTAGTCCCAGGTACTCAGGAGACTGAGGCAGGGGAATCACTTGAACCCTTGAGACAGAGGTTGCCGGGAGCTGAGATCACGCCACTGCAGTCCAGCCTGGTGACAGAGCAAGACTCCGTCTAAAACAAACAAACAAACCAAATATATAATATATATATATATATATATATATGCACAAGCCGCTGTGCTGAGGAACTTTATTTTTAAAAACTAACTTTTGGCCGGGCATGGTGGCTCATGCCTGTAATCCCAGCACATTGGGAGGCCAAGGTGGGTGGATCACTTGAGGTCAGGAGTTTGAGACCAGCCTGCCAAAATGGAGAAAAATTGTATTTTTCTCTACTAAAAATACAAAAAAAAAGAAAGTCAAGCATGATGGCGGGCGCCTGTAATCCCAACTACTTGGGAGGCTGAGGCAGGAGAATAGCTTGAACCCTGGAGGCAGAGGTTGCAGTGAGCCAAGATTGCACCATTGCGTTTCAACCTGGACAAGAGCAAAACTCCGTCTCAAAACAAAAACAAAAACCTATCTGTTGGCTGGGTGCGGTGGCTTATGCTTGGAATCTCAGCACTTTAGGAGGTCAAGGCAGGTGGATCCCTTGAGGCCAGGTATTCAAGACCAGCCTGGCCAACATGGTGAAACCTCATCTCTACTAAAAATATAAAAATTAGCAGGGCCTAGTGTCCAGCACCTGTAATCCCAGCTACTTGGGAGGCTGAGGCAAGAGAAGTGCTTGAACCCAGGAGGTGGAGATTGCAATGAGGTGAGATCATGTCACTGCACTTTAGCCTGGGCAACAGAGCAACTCCATCTCAAAAATAGTAATAATAATAATAATAATAAACTTTTTTTTTTTTTTTTTGAGACGGAGTTTCGCTCTTGTTACCCAGGCTGGAGTGCAATGGCGCGATCTCGGCTCACCGCAACCTCCGTCTCCTGGGTTCAGGCAATTCTCCTGCCTCAGCCTCCTGAGTAGCTGGGATTACAGGCATGTGCCACCATGCCCAGCTAATTTTTTGTATTTTTAGTAGAGACGGGGTTTCACCATGTTGACCAGGATGGTCTCAATCTCTTGACCTTGTGATCCACCCGCCTCGGCCTCCCAAAGTGCTGGGATTACAGGCTTGAGCCACCGCGCCCGGCCTAATAATAAACTTTTAACCCTTATAACAGCTATATGAAGTACAGTTTATAGACCAGGAAATGGAAGCTTACAGAAGTATGTAACTTGTCCAGAGTCATATGTTCAGTAGTTTATGAAGCCAATATTTGAACCCTGCTTGACTGCAGAATATTCTTTTAACAATTTTGCTGTACTTCCTATGGCCGTACACGGTGGCTCATGCCTGTAATTTCATCACTTTGGGAGACCAAGGCTGGGGGTGGGAAGGTGGGAAGATTGTTTAAGTCCAGGAGTTTGAGACCAGCCTGGGTGACATGGTGAAACTCCATCTCTACAAAAAATACAAATTAGCTGGGCATGTTGGCATATGCCTATAATCCTACTAATTGGGAGGCTGAGGTGGGAGGATTGCTTGATCGTAGGAGGTGAAGGTTGCCTGGCCAAAAGATTGTTTTGTTTTTAAGACAGGGTTTTGCTCTTGTTGCCCAGGCTGGAGTGTAATGGCACAATCTCAGCTTGCTGCAATTTCTACCTCCCAGGTTCAAGCGATTCTCCTGCCTCAGCCTCCCGAGTAGCTGGGATTACAGGCATGTGCCACAACGCCCAGCTAGTTTTGGGTTTTTAGTGGAGATGGGGTTTCTCCATGTTGGTCAGGCTGGTCTTAAACTCCTGACCTCAGATGATTCACCCCCCTGGGCCTCCAAGAGTTCTGGGATTACAGGCGTAGCCACCGTGCCCGGCCTCAATAGTTTTTCCTTGAGATGATGTCTCGCTCTGTCACCCAGGCTGGAGTGCAGTGGTGCAATCTTGGCTCACTGCAACCTCTGTCTCCCAGGTTTAAGCAATTCTTCTGCCTCAGCTTCCTGAGTAGCTGGGATTACAGGCTCATGCCACCACGCCCGGCTAATTTTTGTATTTTTAGTAGAGATGGGGTCTCACCATTTTTGGCCAGGTCCAAAAGGTAGTTTTTTGTTTTTGTTTGTTTGTTATATATATATATATATATTTTTTTTTTTTTTAAATAAAGTTCCTCAGCACAATGGTTTACACGTGGTGTTTTTTCTTTTCTTTTTTTTTTTTATTATCTATTTTCCTGAAACACCAAGGCTTGCACATATTAAGAACAATAAATACTATTAAATCATTCATCATTTAAAACAATTTGTACTAGTATAAGTGAACCAAGATCATACCACTGCACTCTAACCTGGATGATAGAGTGTGACTCCATCTCAAAAACAAAAGAAAATAAAACAATTATGTCTATTTCCTATTGCAGATAAAAGGTAAAAGACTTTTTTTTTTTTTTTTTTTTTTTTTTTTTGAGACGGGGCCTTGCTCTATCGCCAGGCTGGAGTGCAGTGGCATGATCTCAGCTCACTGCAACCTCCGTCTCCTGGGTTTAAGTGATTCCCCTGCCTCAGCCTCTTAAGGTGCTGGGACTACAGGTGCGCGCCACCAAGCCTGGCTAATTTTTTGTATTTTAGGAGAGACATGGTTTTACCATGGCCAGGATGATCTTGATCTCCTGACCTTGTGATTCGCCCTCCTCAGCCTCCCAAAGTGCTGGGATTACAGGCATGAGCTACCGCACCCAGCCGGTAAAAGATTTTAATGAGGTACTAGAAAGCTAGGAGAGGACTTCATGATGATAGATAAACTTGCAATAAGCCCTAAAGTATACATGTGTTTAAGCAAAGGAAAGAGGAACAGAGTTAAGGAGTAAGCGCTTACAGAATAAATGATGTTTTAAGGTAGAAACATGGTATGTTCAGGAAATTGTAAGGAGATAACAAACTTGAGACTAGTAGGAGATTAGTGGGAGATAAACTGAGACGGTTTATAGAGTTGATACTTTATTCTGTAGGTGTGGAAAGCCAATGGCAGTTTTGAATGGGGGATGAGTTGGATAGCATTGGTATTTAACAATATTTAAGTTGGAACCATTGTGTAGAATGTATTCAGAGAGAGAGAGGATAGTTTCAGAGTTAAAGTGGCTTAGGCAAGAATAAAGAAAACCTGAATAAAACAGGGTGGGTTGCAATGGATTTGTGAAATATTTTAAAGTAGGCTTTGTTGACCAAATAAACGGCTGCCTAATGAGGGATAAAAGAGAGAAAATAAGCCAATAGTAATGTGGATTTTAAGTCTTTAATAGAAATAGGGAGTTGGTTGGGAAAAGAACATTTGAGAAATAAGATAAAGTTTGATTTTAGTTATGTTTAGTTAGAAACTAAAAAGTTCTTCTGTAGGGAGGTAGAGCTGAACGATTAGAGTGTAAGTTTGGGGATAGAGCTAAAGAGTTGCATGTACTCAGCATAAGATATTTTCAAGGTTCTAAGTCCAAAGCAACATCTAACTTAAAACAGCTTGTCAGGGGAATAAATCTAGTGCCTCGGAGTGGATTTTAAGCTATGCAACGAATCTACCTCCAAAACCATGTAAAGGTTGATGTTTATATTAAAACTTGAGTTAATTCTAAATATTTTCTAATTGAAAAAATATATAATTCTTGGAGATGTTCAACGGGAAGTAAGAGGAAGAAAATTCAAGAGAACTGGGGAGATAAATGTTTGTTTGTTTGTTTGAGATGAAGTCTTGCTCTGTTACCCAGGCTTGAGTGCAGTGGCATAATCCTGGCTCACTGCAACCTCTGCCTCCTGGGTTCAAGTGATTCTCCTGCTTCAACCTCCGAGCAGCTGGGATTACAGGCATCTGCCACCATGCCCAGCTAATGTTGTATTTTTAGTAGAGTTGGGGTTTCACCACATTGGCCAGGCTGCTCTTGAACTCCTGACCTCAGGTGATCCACCTGCCTTGGAAAGTGTTGGGATTACAGATGCGAGCCACCATGCCTGGCAAAAAGTGTGTTTTTAAATCATTGCTCATGAAAGATGATATTAATACAAAATATTTGTTGTACATTAGCACTATAAAATTCAGCCTATGCTGAAGCTAAGCTGCGAGAATCACTGTGAAAGAGAAATTAATCTCTCTTGTAATTAATCTTCTAAATTGTCTGCCACTTTTTGTGGAAGCTTACATATCTAAATACCTGTAATCTAAGCGTTTAATGTCTAAATGTGACTTCTTAATTCATTTCAGAGGGGATGCGAAAACAAGGCTTATTTCAATGGCTCGATTCACTTCAGACTGATAACCTCACCTCTCCAGACCTGCAGCTCACCGTGGGAGCAGTGATTGTGGAGGAAATGAGAGCAGCCATAGAGAGAGAGACTGGTTTTCAGTGTTCAGCTGGAATTTCACACAATAAGGTGAAGGCTAATAGTAGATTTCAAAGAGAAACATTGATATCCTTAGTCAAATACAGCAAGGATAGTGGGACATTTAAATTACTACACATAGGCTGGATTCAGTGGCACACGCCTATGTGGATGGATTGCGTGAACCCAGGAGTTCCAGAGCAGCCTGGGCAACATGTTGAAACCCCTGTTTCTACAAAAAATTAGCCAGGCATGGTGGTGCACACCTACAGTCCCAGCTACTCAGGAGGCTGAGGTGGGAGGATCAGCTGAGTCTGGGAGGTTGAAGCTGCAGTGAGCCAAGATCATGCCACTGCACTTCAGCCTGGATGACAGACTGTCTCAAAAAAAAAAAAAAAAAAAAAATTGTTACACATATACTTTGAATGGATTTCTGTTTAAAATTCATGTTGAGGCCCAAATCAAAGCATAAGTAATTATATAACATGGAAATGGACATTAAATATGTACTTTACTAAGAAGCAAGCTGAAGGCTGGGCTTGGTGGGTCATGCTTGTAATCCTAGCACTTTGGGAGGCCGAGGCAGGTAGATCACCTGAGGTCAGGAGTTTGGGACCAGCCTAATCAGTATGGTAAAACATTATCTCTACTAAAAAAAAAAGCTAGGCATGGTGGCATGCACCTATAGTGGGGCTACTCAGGAGGCTAAGGCAGGAGAATTGCTTGAACCCAGGAGGCAGAGGTTGCGGTGAACCAAGATCGCACCACTGCACTCCAGCCTGGGCAACAGAGCAAAACTCTGTCTTAAAAAAAAAAAAAAAAGGCTAAAAAATTACAACTAATGCTTATTTATTTAGTGGCATTTAAATGACAGTTGGCCCACTGTATCTGCAAGTTTCATATCTGAGGATTCAACCACGCATGGATCAAAAATATTTTTTAAAAAATTAAAAGGCCCAATACAACAATACAGAATTATACATATGAAAAAACAAGTCCAGGGGCAGTGGCTCACACCAGTAATCCCACCACTTTGGGAGGTCAAGGCAGGCAGATCACCTGAACTGAAGAGTTTGAGACAAGCCTAGGCAACATGGTAAAACACATCTCTCCCAAAACTATGAAAAAATTAGCTGGGCACCGTGGCACACACCTGGAGTCCCAGATACTTTGGGGGCTGAGGAAGGAGAATTGCTTGAACCTGGGAGGTGGAGGTTACAGTGAGCCAAGATCCCACCATTGCACTCCAGACTGGAGAGCAGAGTGAGACTGTGTCCAAAAAAAAAAAAAAAAAAAGTTGCGCACAGTGGCTTATGCCTGTAATCCGAGCACGAGGCCGAGGTGGGTGGATCACGAGGTCATGAGTTCAAGACCAACCTGGACAAGATTGTGAAACCCCATCTCTACTAAAAATATAAAAATTATCCAGGTGTGGTGGCATGTACCTGTAATCCCAGCTACTTGGGAGTCTGAGGCAGAGAATTGCTTAAAAACCCAGGAGGTGGAGGTTGCAGTGAGCTGAGATTGAACCACTGCACTCCACCCTGGGTGACAGAGTGAGACTCCGTCTCACCCAAAAAAAATTGAAAAACAACAACAACAAAAAAAAGGCCAGGCACTCATGCCTGTAATCACAGCACTTTGGGAGACCGAGGCAGGTGGATCACAATGTCAGGAGTTTGAGACCAGCCTGGCCAACATGGCGAAATCCCATCTCTACTCAAAATATAAAAATTAGCCAGGCGTGGTGGTAGGCGCCTGTAATTCCAGCTACTCTGGAGGCTAAGGCAGAATTGCTTGAACCTAGGATGCAGTGAGCCAAGATCATCCAGCCTGGGCGACAAGAGCAAGACTCCATCTCGGAAAAAAAAAACAAGAACAGTATACTATAAGAACTATTTATATAGCATTTATATTGTATATCATATGTGTTATAAGTAATTAGAGATGATATAAAATATACAGGTGGATATACAAAGGTTATAGGCAAACACTACACCATTTTATATTGTGGGACTTGTACATCATCTTTACAGGACTTGGGATTTTAATATTCACTGGGGGTCTTAGAATCAATCCCCTGCAGATATTGAGGGATGACAGTATTTCCTTAATGATTCAACTGTCTGTGGAAAAAAGGAGGCTAGTCTTTGAACTTGCATACATTAATCTATTTCATTAATCTCTTTTATTTTCACTTGCTAAATTTTATTTATTTGTTTTTTGAGATTGAGTCTCACTCCGTTGCCCAGGGTAGAGTCCAGTGGCCCAATCTTGGCTTGCTGCAGCCTCCACCTCCTGGGTTCAGGTGATTATCCTGCCTCAGCCTCTTGAGTAGCTGGGATTATAGGCATGCACCACCACACTGGCTAATTTTTGTATTTTTACTGGAGACAGGGTTTCACCATATTGGCCAGGCTGGTCTCAAATTCCTGACCTTAGGTGATCCATGCGACTGGCCACTTGCTGAATATTTTTGTATTATCTTGTTATGTGGAGTTGTCTGGGTATTTTATGCTTTTGCCTATTTCCTGTTTTCTTAGGAGAGCAATAAAGGGAATAATAAAATTTTATTAATTTAGACCACTATTTTAATTTAGGGTACACAGACAATTCTCAGCAATCCAGGAGCAGAATAACTGGTTTTTGATTAATTATGAATAAAGTGTAGCAAGAGCCCAGGACCTTCATCCCCTTCTGACCAAAGCTCAGTAATTAGGCAGTGGCTGATTATCCCTGGTTGATACCTTCTCCTCCTCCTCCCTTTACTACAAGGAAAGTTGCCAAACTACCCATCTGAGTTTTTTTGTTTTTTGGTTTTTTTCCTGATTGGATGAAGGGAAAGGAAACAATAGCTTCAATGTAATTTAAACCATACTAAATGTCGCCTAGTAGAAGTTCCTAAAGAATCTCTGTAATGAATTTAATAATTTTATATTTTGAAACATAAATATAAAAATATAATTATTTTTAAGTTATATAAAAATATTTTTAAGATTATATTTTTATAGTTGCAAAGTGATACCATTCAAGTGTTTTACTCTTAGAAAGAGTTCTCTTGGCCAGGTGCAGTGGCTTATGTGTGTAATCCCAGCACTTTGGGAGGCACTGGATCACCTGAGGTTGGGAGCTCAAAACCAGCCTTACCAACATGGAGAAATCGCATCTCTACTAAAAATACAAAATTAGCTGGGCATGGTGGTGGGCACCTGTAATCCCAGCTACCTGGGAGGCTGAGGCAGGAGAACCACTTGAACCCAGGTGGCGGAGGTTGCAGTGAGCCGAGATTGCACCATTTCACTCCATGCTGGGCAACAAGAGCAAAACTCCATCTCAAAAAAAAAGGGGGGGCGGGCGTGGTGGCTCACGCCTGTAATCCCAGCACTTTGGGAGGCTGAGGCGGGTGGATCACGAGGTCAAAAGATCGAGACCATCCTGGCCAACACATCTCTACTGAAAATACAAAATTAGCCAGGTGTTTGGCACGCACCTGTAGTCCCAGCTACTCAGGAGGCTGAGGTGGAAGAATCATTTGAACCTGGGAAGCGGAGGCTGCAGTGAGCCGAGACTGCACCACTGTGCTCCAGCGTGGCAACAGAGCAAGACTCCGTCTCCAAAAAAAAAAGTTCTCTTGGGAGCCCAAGGCAGGCAGATCACGAGGTCAAGAGATCGAGATCATCCTGACCAACATGGTGAAACCCCGTCTCTACTAAAAAATACAACAATTAGGTGGGTGTGGTGGCTTAGGTGTGTAGTCCCAGCTACTCGGGAGGCTGAAGCAGGAGAATCACTTGAACCTGGGTAGCGTAGGTCGCAGTGAGCTGAGATTGCACCACTGCACTCCAGCCTAGTGACAGAGCAAGACTTCTCTCAAAAAAGGAAAGTGCTAAAGAATTCTCAAGGATTTCGGTTTTTTCATTTTTTAAGTGATATTTGTAATGTAAGAAGGCGTTTGCTATTGTAGGATGATTTTTGAGCCCAATCTCTAACAGATAACAAATTATGATAATTTGTGTTAAATTGGGCACTCAAAATGGACCAACTATTAATCAAGAAATGTAAATGGGGTAGGGTAAAATAAGTTTATTTCAGCATTTTTATGTAAACACACTGAGAAATGCATCTTGAGTTTCTCCTGCAGTTTCTCTACTTTTCAAACCTCTTGAAGTTGGATTAAATGGGAAGGAAAAATTGACTAGAGAAAAACTGAGAACGGGAGAGATGTGGGAAAAACAATGAGGATAATGATATTGTGTTATGTTCTCACTGGGATGTTGTGGGATACCAAGTTTTAGAGGTGTCTTAGTTTCTGGTTTTGTTTTTGTTTTTAATGTAGAAACCATCTGTTACAGCCATTAAGCTCTGTGTGTGTGTGTGTGTGTGTGTGTGTGTGATTATGATTATATTCACCAACTATGGTGGGTTGACAGTAATGAGGTTTTTACACTTTGCATGCTTCCAGGTCCTGGCAAAACTGGCCTGTGGATTAAACAAGCCCAACCGCCAAACCCTGGTTTCACATGGGTCAGTCCCAAAGCTCTTCAGCCAAATGCCCATTCGTAAAATGTAAGTATTCAGGCAGCACCTTAAATTTCAATTATATCCCTGTGTAGAAACTCTCTGGTTATAGTTTCTTGTGTTACTAATAAAGGACTGGAGCCAGGGGAAATAGGTACCAGTTGGAAGTAAGATAACACAGAACATTTTGAAACACTCGCTGAGACTTTTATTTTTATTTATTTATTTTGAAAGAGTTTTGCTCTTGTTGTCCAGGCTGAAGTGCAGTGGCACAGTGTTGGCTCCCTGCAACCTCTGCCTCCCGGGTTCAAGCGATTCTCCTGCCTCAGTCTCCTGAGTAGCTGAATTACAGGCTCCCACCATGCCCAGTTAGTTTTTGTAATTTTAGTAGAGACGGGTTTCACCATGTTGGCCAGGGTGCTCTCAAACTCCTGACCTCCGGTGATTCCCAAAATGCTGGGCTTACAAGCGTGAGCCACTGCACCTAGCCACACTGAGACTTTTAATGAACCTTCAATTCTGGGTTGTCTGTGGCAGATAACTTAATCCTGAATTTTTAAAAAATGAGCCAGGTGTGGTGACTCACACCTGTAGTCCCAGCATTTTGGGAGGCCAGGGTGGGTGGGTCACTTGAGCCCAGGAGGTCAAAACCAGTGTGAGCAACATAGTGAGATCCCATGTCTATAAAAAATAAATAAATAAACCAAGTTTTAGCTATATGGTTAACTTCCCTCTAGACTTCTTATTCATCTGTTACTAAGTAACAAATAGGAATTTTACTTCTTTTCTTTCCTCTAACAGCAAATCAAGGTGTTCAGGGCTGCTGAATTTCAGCTCCCAAAGTAGGCAAAAGAGAAGAAGCCAAGTCAAATGAACAGGTTGTGCCTACTAGTTGTGTAGCCTTGACAAGGACTTATAATATTGTAGAAGGGACAAGGTAAAAAGCAATAGTAAAAGGGCTGTCATAAGACTGCATAATTGCTAAAGGAATTGTGCAGGTAGAACAAAGTTCACAAAAGAAAAATTTGGAAGAGGATTTATAAAAAGGCATGGGATTTTGTTTTGAATTTTGGTACAATTTGGAGTCAGACAAGAACAGCAAAGCAATACTGATTTGGAGAACTTTTTAGCACAAAGAGAGGAAAGTATGAGATATTTTCAGTGAACTAGAACCTAAAGTAGTTTAGCTGCACCATATTGAGGAAGATAATGGAAATAGACTGAAAAAATGGGTTACAGACAGATTATAGGGAACCTCAAAGGCTAGGCTAAAGAATTTTCACTACGTTCTTTTGTTTTTTTTGAGATGGAGTCTCTCCCTGTTGCCTAGGCTGGAGTGCAGTGGCATGATCTTGGCTCACTGCAGCCTCCACCTCCTGGGTTCAAGTGATTCTCTTGCCTCAGCCTCCCAAGTAGCTGAGACTACAGTTGCACACCATCATGCCTGACTAATTTTTGTATTTTTAGTAAAGACGAGGTTTCAGCATTTTGGCCAGGCTGGTCTCTTGGCCTCAAGTGATCCATCTGCCTTGGCCTCCCAAAGTGCTGGGATTACAGGCATGAGCCACCACGCCCAACCGACTGTGTTCTTAAGGATAAGTTTAGGTTACATATTCCTTTTTTTTTCCTTTGAGTCAGAGTCTTGCTCTGTCTCCCAGACTGGAGTGCAGTTGTACAATTAGAGCTCACTGCAGTCTCAACCTCCTGGGCTCAAGCAATCCTCCTGCCTCAGCCTCCCAAGTATCTGGAACCACAAGCACATGCAACCATGCCCATTTAATTTGCTGGAGTACAGTGGCACAATCTCAGCTCACTGTAACCTCTGCCTCCTGGGCCCAAGTGATCCTCCCACCTCAGCCTCCTGAGTAGCTTGGACTACAGGTGCATAACACCACACCAACTAATTTTTTGTAGAGACAAGGTTTTGCCATGCTGTTCAGGCTGTTCTCAAACTCCTGGGCTCAAGTGATCTACTTGCTTCGGCCTCTCAAAGTGCTGGGACTACAGGGGTGAGCCACCGCACCTGGCTTTAATTTTTTTTGTAGAATTGGGGGTCTTACTTTGTTGTTGCCCAGGCTGGTCTCAAACTCCTGGACTCAAGCAGTTTCCCCACTTTGGCTTCCCAAAGTGCTGGGATTATAGGCTGAGCCACTGTGCCTGGCCAGATTACGTATTCTTAAATTTTAGCCATGGAAGGGATTTATTTTGTGTTTGGAATTTTAATCCCCAAATAGGACAGCAGGTGTTGTACAATTGAAAGTTTTATATATGGTTTGCTTGATAGTTAATCAAGGACTCTAACCTTTTGGTTATGTTATTGTTAATCTTATCCTCAAATTCTAACCCCCAGAGTAACTGAATTCCCAGAATATATGCTCTCATTTGTCCTGAACCTTTTGGAGAGCTACTTACAAAAGCAGAATGTCTTATGTTTGCCGCTAATTAGATAATTATGATGTGACCTATCTATTCTTTGTCTCCTTTGTTATCAGCCGTAGTCTTGGAGGAAAGCTAGGGGCCTCTGTCATTGAGATCCTAGGGGTAGAATACATGGGTGAATTGACCCAGTTCACTGAATCCCAGCTCCAAAGTCATTTTGGGGAGAAGAATGGGTAAGTGATTCATATTTTTTTAATCATAACCTTTATGGAGATGCTACATTCAAATATAGACAAAAGCATCTAGTAAAATCAACACCTATATTTAGGTTAACATTCGTTTCTTGAGATAATTTCACCGGTCCTTCTTGCTTTAAAATCTTGCGTTACTATGGCCTATCAGTCTAGAGTAGTTCTTTCCATGTACCTTGGTGGTTGATAGGATTTGTTACTTTCATGCCTGGGTATATACTAATTGCATCGTTCTTGCATCCTGAGATGCTATATTCTCTTAAAATCTTTGTGTTTAATGCCCTAGCAAACACACACACACACTTGGGGATGTGATTCAGTGGCTTGCTTGGCATTTTTCCAAAAATACAAATGATGATTTGGCTTTAGAAAGCAGAACCAGTGTTCTCATTATCCATATTCTGCACTGGAATTCATTGAGAAGGGCAGAAGTTCTGTCAGAGTTCCAGTACACTAAATTTTGGACAAGTTTTTCCTTTTTCATGAAAAGGATAAAAGGGCAGTATAATATAGTTATTTAGTTTTAACAAGAATAACCATTTAATTTCACCTTAACGTTTTTTGCTGGTCTTATTAGGTCTTGGCTGTATGCCATGTGCCGAGGGATTGAACATGATCCAGTTAAACCCAGGCATCTACCCAAAACCATTGGCTGTAGTAAGAACTTCCCAGGAAAAACAGCTCTTGTTACTCGGGAACAGGTAAGCAGGCATTCTTGACAGAATACTACCTCTTTTAAAGGGGTCAACAAGTAGGTTTTGGTAGCTGTGGAAGGTTTAATAGGTTCGAGGAGACCTTTATAAAGTTTGAAGAAAACAGATGTTCTTTCCTTGGGTTGAAAATTGACTAGTTTATGATTTATTACTTTTTTCCCTTTCTTCCATTGAGATAAAATGGAATTTCTCATTTAGTAGATGGGGACTTCGAAAGCCTAGGATATCATACTTCAAGTTTGGGTCTTGTCTTTTTCTCAGAGCTGGAACATGCTTGAAAGTCACATGATGGCGTACCAGCAGGAAAATAAAATGAAAGGCTTGAGCTAGGGCAGGACAGAAGGAATGATAACATTTCTATGATCTGCTGATCCTTTGATTATGGGGGACATAAAAATAACAAATCCACCATCTAGTTCTTAATAGATTACGAGTATTTAAATGAAAGATGAAGTCTCAATACTTTTTTAGGTACAATGGTGGCTGTTGCAGTTAGCCCAGGAACTAGAGGAGAGACTGACCAAAGACCGAAATGATGTAAGATTTTTTTTCTTTATTCCTGGGTGGGGTATGCTTTGCGATTTACATATCAACTTCTATTTACCTTATGGAACGGGAACAAAGAAGAGAGTATCGGCATAGAACCTCGACCTCCCAGGTTCAAGCTATCCTCCCGAATAGCAGGGACTACAGGTGCATGCCACTACAACTGGCTACATGTTTTTTATTTTTATAGAGACAGGGTCTTACAAGGTTGCTCAGGCTGGTCTTGAACTCCAGCTAAGGAAACTCTAAGACTTTTTTTTTTTTTTAAGACAGAGTTTTTCCTCTTGTTGCCCAGGCTGGAGTGCAGTGGCATGATCCTGGCTCACTACAACCTCTGCCTCCAGATTCAAGTGATTCTCCTGCCTCAGGCTTCCAAGTAGTTGGGATTGCAGGCACCATACCTGGCTAATTTTGTGTGTGTGTTTTCAGTAGAGGTGGGGTTTCACCATATTGGCCAGGCTTGTCTTGAATGCCTGACCTCCGGTGATCCGCCCACCTCAGCCTCCCAAAGTGCTGGGATTACAGGTGTAAGCCACTGCACCCCGCCAATAGTGGCAGTTTTAAGTACATTTTATTGTGTATATTTGATGTTTACAACATTATGATACAGGATACATATAGTAAAATAGTTACTGTAGTGTAGCAAATTAACATATCTATCATTTCACATACTTCCTGTACCCATTAGCAGTCATTCCCCATTTCTCTCCCACCTACCCCCGAGCCCTAGGCAACCACTAGACTGCTTTTTGTTTTTATGGACTTACTAATCTGGACATTTCATATAAATGGAATCAAAATACATGGTCTTTTGTGACTGGCTTGAAGTCTTTCACTTAACATGTTTTCAAGGTTCAGCTGTATTGTAGCATGTATCAGTACTTACTATTTTATTATTTTTTTTATTTTTGAGATAGAGTCTTTCACTCTGTCACCAAGCCAGAGTGTAGTGGGGTGATCTTGGCTCATTGCACCCTCCACCTCCCGAGTTCAAGTGATTCTCCTGCCTCAGCCTCCCGAGTAGCTGGGAGTACAGGCAGTCGCCATGCCCAGCTAATTTTTGTATATTTAGTAGACATGGGTTTTCACCATGTTGGCCAGGATGGTCTTGATCTCTGGACCTTGTGATTCTCCTGCCTCAGTTTCAAAGTGCTGGGATTACAAGTATGAGCCACTGTGCTCAGCCAGTACTTACTCCTTTTTATGGCTGAATAATACTCTATTGTATTAGTATATACCACATTTGGCTTATCCATTTATTAGTGAATGGACATTTGGGTTGTTTCCATTTTTGGCTATTACGAATAATGTTGCTATGAGCATTCATCTACAATAGTACAAAACTACATGTTACTTTTTAGCTGGAATTGGTGATAAATATTTGTTCCTTTGGTAGGCATCAGAGAGGGATTGGATCCACTTGTGTTATTGCCCTGTTCAGCTTTTGCCCACTAGGTGGCACTTGGTTCTCATCTCTCTATAAGCCCCTGGGGCTTTTCTTTCCACTTTGTTTTTTTTTTTAAATTGAGATGGAGTTTTGCTCTTGTTGCCCAGGCTGGAGTACAACAGTGTCATCTCGGCTCACCACAACCTCCACCTCCCAGGTCCAAGCAATTGTCCTGTCTCAGCCTCCCGACTAGCTGGGATTACAGGCATGGGCTACCAAGCCCAGATAATTTTGTATTGTTGATAGAGACAAGGTTTCTCCTTGTTGGTCAGGCTGATCTCGAACTCCAGACCTCAGGTGATTTGCGCCCGCCTTGACCTCCCAAAGTGCTGGGATTACAGGCATGAGCCACCGTGCCTGGCTTCCACTTTTTTTTTTTTTTTTTTTTTTTTTTTTTTTTAAAGAGAGGGGGTCTTCTGTTAAAAGCATTCAGTTTAAAAAAAAAAAAAAAGAGAGAGAGAGACAGTCTTGGCTGTCATCCATGCTGGAGCACAGTAGCACAAACTTAGCTCACTGCAGCCTTGCTGCCTCAACCTCCTGGGCTCAAGTAATCTTCCTGCCTTAGCCTCCCACAGTGCTGGGAGTATAGGCATGAGCCACTATGCCTAGTCCTTTCTTCCCACGTTGTATCCAGTGGAGATCCCTGAAAATCTGTCTTTAAGATTCAAAGGACTTTAGCCAAAAATAATTCAGGACATAGCAGATCCTATCACTTCACTGTTTTTAAAACATTCCAGTGGTTTCCCTTCACACTTAAGGCATATTGAGGACTTTTTTAAAGTAATTCTGTAAAGCTAAACATGATCTAATTCCTTGCTACTTCTCTGACCCCATCTCTTATCTTCCCCTCACTTATTCTAGTCTCCACTCTATTGGCCTCCTTCCCTTTATCTAACACGCTAAGCTCTTACTTTAGCACTGGCCGTTTCTTTGCCCTGGAGACTCTTTGTTCATATATTCTTAATATTTGCTTCCTTGTTTTATTCAAAGCTCTGCTCATGTTGTACCTTCTTCAGGAGGTCCTCCTTAACCCTAACCCTGTCACAGCAGCAGCCTCCATCACTGTCTGCCTTATTCTGCTTTTCTTCATGGCACATTTCTGTTACATGCCTATTTTTTATTATCTATAGTTCCTATTACAACACAGGATCCACGAGGACCTGGACTTTATTTTGGTCTCTCCTGCATCTCTAGCACTGTCTAGACATACACAGTAGGTATGCAGTTATAGTTCGATAATTTTAGTCAACAAGGACTCCTTTGTAATTGCCAATTTGTATTCCCTTAAGATATATAAATCTGTACAAATTTTTTTTTAATCCAAAAAGTAGTTCCTGCTCTCAGCTTGTTTGCCTTAGGGGTATTTCTCCTCACTAGCATCTTTTGATAGGGGTCCCTTATGTAGAATTTTAAGCTGCTTATATTTCTGCCTCTTGGCCATTATTATTCAGTTTGCTGAGATTACAGTATTCAGATGCTTCAGACTTCACTGAAAAGTGAGTCATGATCTTGCTTTCTGGAGGCAGGCTTACTACATGATATCTTCTCTAGATAAGCTGTAAAAAGGTGTTGGTAGAAGCTTCTGGAATTGGTGGTGAATGTTTACCATAAGAGCCTAAGGGCAGAAGAAAGATAGGACTCGATTGAAGGCTAGTTCCACTTTGCTTTCAGACAATTACTTACCTGAAACTTTCCTTCAGTCACAGAATAGTATCCAGTATAGGAGTTATTTGTTATAATTGTCCTGCTTAGACACCATGAGAAGCATTTAGGGGAGTCCCATTTTCATTTGTTCTGTCCTGTTCCCATCATACTGTCAAAACATCCTAGATATTCCAGTGTTCCATAACCCAAATTATGTCTTCTTCAGTTACTTTTTACACCCAGAAATAGCGTGAACTTTGTGTGTGTGTGTGTGTGTGTGTGTGTAACCATGTAATGAGATTTCTATTCAGAAAATGCATTCTGTTGCATGTAGGGGGTTTTTTGTTTGTTTTTTTGGGTTTTGTTTGTTTGTTTGTTTGTTTTTTTGTTTTGAGATAGAGTCTTGCCCTGTCGCCCAGGCTGGAGTGCAGTGGTTCCATCTCTGCTCACTGCAACCTCTGCCTCTTAGGTTCAAGCATTTCTCCTGTCTCAGCCTCCCAAGTAGCTGGGATTACAGGCACACACCACCACAAGTGGCTAGTTTTTTGTATTTTTTAGTAGAGATGGGGTTTCACCTTCTTTGCCAGGCTAGTCTCAAACTCCTGACCTCAGGTGATCCACCCACCTCGGCCTCCCAAAGTGCCAGGATTACAGGCGTGAGCCACCATGCCTGGCCTCTTTCTCACATTTTATCTTTACTCCTTGCAGAACTCACAGTCTACCTTTATTCTTGACTTTTAAACTACTGTTTCCAAACTACTGTCACCCTGGTTCTTTTAATTTCCTCTCCTGCAATTGAGTACCTAGAATCCAGATGCTCCTGGTAACTTTACTTCTGGTCTCCATCCTTTCCCACCCACAGAATGACAGGGTGGCCACCCAGCTGGCTGTAGGCATTCGTGTACAAGGAGACAAACGCCTCAGCAGCCTGCGCCGCTGTTGTGCCCTTACCCGCTATGATGCTCACAAGATGAGCGATGATGCATTTAGTGTCATCAAGAACTGTAATACTTCTGGAATCCAGACAGAATGGTGAGTTCTTTTCTAGCTCATATTCTCAGAAGAGACTTAATGCCCTGTCTTTAGCTCTAAAATTAGTAGGCAACTGAGCTCTTCCAGCTGGGATAGACTCTGACTCAGAGTCTGAGTAATAGCACCTATTACTCAAGAAGAAAATAAATACAATACCATCCTCAGAAACAAGACAGCTCAGTGCAGATCCTTTGCCTACAGCTGATACATTCCAGTTCTCAGGGGAAGGTTAGACCCTTACCCTGTATGGGCATGGTCAAATGGCCAGTTGTACCCTGTATGGGCTTGGTACAAATGACCAGTTCAGTACTTGGAGAACAGAGCTCAAATTTCAAGAGTACATTTGGGAACTCAAACTACTTGGTTTTTTGTTTTGTTTTGTTTTGTTTTGAGACTGAGTCTTGTTCTGTCACCCAGGTTGCAGTGCAGTGGCGCAATCTCGGCTCACTGCAACCTCTGCCTCCCAGGTTCAAGCAATTCTCCTGCCTTAGCCTCCCAAGAAGCTGGGACTATAGGTGTGTACCACCACGCTCAGCTAATTTTTTTTTATTTTTAGTAGAGATGGAGTTTCACCGTGTTAGCCAGGATGGTCTCGATCTCCTGACCTGAAGTGATCTGCCTGCCTTGGACTCCCAAAGTGCTGGGATTACAGGCGTGAGCCGACAGATTGTTCTATCTTAAAAGCATCTTTCTTGTTTATAAAGGTGACCTTTGTTGACGGATAATCTCTATCTGATATCCCAACTCAGTTACAAACTCCACTGGTATTACACCAAGTGTCATATTCATTAGTAAACTTCACTTCTGTTGGTCATGAAATATAAGCCTCTTTTTGGAGCATGTTCATTTTCTGTCCGGATAATTATTTTCAGGATTGGAATCCTTTAATTACATATTTAATTAAGCCTGTTACATTGTGTGTGTGTGTGTGTGTGTGTGTGTGTGTGTGAGAGAGTGTGAGAGAGAGAGAGAAACAGTCTCACTCTGTTGCCAGGCGCCAGGCTGGAGTGCAGTGGCGCAATCTTGGCTCACTGCAACCTGTGCCTTCTGGGTTCAAGCAATTCTTCTGCCTCAGCATCCCAAGGAGCTGGGACTACAGGCACGCACCACCACGCCCAGCTAATTTTTGTATTTTTTAGTAGAGACGGGGTTTTACCATGTTGGCCAGGATGGTCTTGATCTCTTGACCTCATGATCCACTCACCCCGGCCTCCCAAAGTGCTGGGATTACAGGCCTGAGCCACCGCTCCCAGGTACATTTTTTAAAAGTATTCCAAATTCACAATAGAAATATAGTTATGAGAGAAGATAAGTTGGTTGCTCACTTACAGGTGTATATTGAAGATCATACAAAATAAAATCAACGTTTAATCACGTTATCTAAATATATTGGCACTACAGTTATATGTACAGACCTATAATGTGGTGGAGTCTCTAAGTTAGTGCCTTTGTTCTTAGGGCCAGGCGAGGCAGCTCACGCCTGTAATCCTAGCACTTTGAGAGGTTAAGGCAGGTGGATCACCTGAGGTCAGGAGTTCAAGACCAGCCCGGCCAACATGGTGGAACCCCGTCTCTACTAAAAATACAAAAATTAGCCAGGCATGGTGGCAGGTGCCTGTAATACCAGCTACTCGGGAGGCTGAGGCAGGAGAATGGCTTGAACCTGGGATGCAAAGGTTACAGTGAGCCAAGATGGCGCCATTGCACTCCAGCCTGGGGGACAAGAGTGAAACTCTGTCTCCAACAACAACAAATAAATAGTCTTTGTTCTTAGAATAATTTATTTAATTTTTGCTTCCTGATATATTTTCAAATATTGAAGTTTTACAAAACCAAATAATAACTGTGGTACTAGTATTCACATGAATCCGTATTTGAAAAGTTATAAATTGACAAACTATAACAAATACCAGTCATCAACTGGATGAAACTCCCTAATGAACAGGGAAGCATAAAAATTATCTGATTATAAGACTGTACCAAAGTATGAAACCTGAGAATGGTGGGATATACTTTTTTTTTTTTTTTTTTTTTTGAGATGGAGTCTCACTCTTGTTGCCCAGGCTAGAGTGCAGTGGCACGATCTTGGCTCACTGCAACCTTCACCTCCTGTGTTCAAGCAATTCTCCAGCCTCAGCCTCCTGAGTAGCTGGGATTACATGCACCTGCCACCATGCCCAGCTAATTTCTGTACTTTTAGTAGAGATGGGGTTACACCATGTTGGCCAGGCCGGTCTGAAACTCATGACCTCAGGTGATCCACCCTCCTTGACCTCCCAAAGTGCTGGGATTACAGGTGTGAGCCACCTCGCCAGACCGATACTTTCATAATAACTTTAAAATGACATTTACCTTTTACCTCACTGAAGGACTAATCTGTACACAAAAGCATGTTTCATCTTCTGAAATTCAGCTTATGTGAAAATTTGAGTGATTAGACACAAAGAAGAACTTTATAACAAGAATTTCTTAAAATATTTCTGAAACTGGGACTGGCAACAAAAAGCAGTTGTGGAATTTCATTCTCTAGAAATTCCAGAGTGGTTAGTCAGGGTTAGGTAGCGCCCTGTTTAAAAACAGGATAATAGCTAGGAGGATTTTTTCAACTCTTTTTGGTCTAAATATTCTAAAGCTTTTTTGTTGTCTTGAATAAAATTTCTTGCTCCAACCCTGAATTACAGCAACTTTCCAGTGATACCTTATGAAAAACAATAATCTCTAAAAGCCTGGGCGCAGTGGCTCACAACTGTAATCCTAGCACTTTGGGAAGCTGAGGCAGGTGGAGCACCTGAGGACAGGATTTCGAGACCAGCCTGGCCAACACAGTGAAACCCCATCTCTACTAAAAATACAAAAATTAGCTGAGTATGGTGGTGGGCACCTGTAATCTCAGCAACTCAGGAGGCTGAGGCAGGAGAATCACTTGAACCCAGGAGGCGGAGGTTGCAGTGAGCTGAGATTGCGCCACTGTACTCCAGCCTAGGTGACAGAATGAGACTCTGTCTGAAAACAACAACAACAATAACAACAATAATCTCTAGCTGTCAGGAGGTGAATGGTTACTAAATTAGTGGTTCTCAAGACACAACATCAGTATCACCTAGGAAATTAAATTCTCTGTTCATCTCAGGTCTATTAATCTCTTACATACATTAACATTTGAGAATCACTGTAGTAAAGAATAATTTTTGTGGCAGAACCAGAATCCTAGTCATCTATGGATTAAATCTGTCCTATGGTGAAATAAAACAGATTCAATTCATAGAATTAGCAATAGGTCACTATTTTAATCTTCTAAATTGCTAATCATCTTATTTATTTTCTGTATAGGTCTCCTCCTCTCACAATGCTTTTCCTCTGTGCTACAAAATTCTCTGCCTCTGCTCCTTCATCTTGCACAGACATCACCAGCTTCTTGAGCAGTGAACCAAGTTGTCTGCCAAAGGTGCCAGTTACCAGTTCAGAAGCTAAGACCCAGGGAAGTGGCCCAGCAGTGATAGCCACTAAGAAAGCAACCACCTCTCTGGAATCATTCTTCCAAAAAGCTGCAGAAAGGCAGAAAGTTAAAGAAGCTTCACTGTCATCTCTTACTGCACCCACTCAGGCTCCCATGAGCAATTCAACATCCAAGCCCTCATTACCTTTCCAAACCAGTCAAACTAGAGGAACTGAGCCCTTTTTTAAGCAGAAAAGTCTGCTTCTAAAGCAGAAACAGCTTAATAATTCTTCCATTTATTTCCCTCCACAAAATCCACAGTCCAGCTCTAAAGCATTACCAAACTCTTTACCAACAGAGTATCCAGGTTGTGCCCCTGTTTGTGAAGGGGTGTTGAAGCTAGAATCCTGTAAAGCAACTCCTGCAGAGACCGATTTGGCCCGCAACAGCCAAAGCATGCATGCCTCTTCAGCTTCCAAATCTGCTGTGGAGGTGACTCAGAAAGCAACTACAAGTCTTCTAGCTGCTGAGGATCAAGTGCCCTGTGAGAAGTGTGGCTCCCTGGTACCAGTATGGGAGATGCCAGAACACACGGACTATCATTTTGCACTAGAGTTGCAGAAATCCTTTTTGCAGTCCCACTCCTCAAACCCCCAGGTGGTTTCTGCCGTATCTCCTCAAGGCAAAAGAAATCCTAAGAGCCCTTTGGCCTCCAATAATAAACGCCCCAGGCCTGAGGGCATGCAGACATTGGAATCATTTTTTAAACCATTAACACACTAGTGCTGCCCTCAGGCTTGCTTGTAGGATTTGATATTTTATCTTTACAGATCTTTAATATTTTATCTTCACAGATTTCCCTGAGAAGGGGGAATTATGAAATTTTTAATACAAAAAACAGTCCATTTAGGTGCTGAGTTCCTGTCCCATCTCTTCACAGGCATGGATTCTAATCCCACTGCTGACAGAGATGTAAAAATTAATCCTACCACTGAGTTTTTAATCTTTAGCATTTAGGGAGGCGGCGTCACGTAGTAAAAAGTGTGTGGGCCTTGGAGTCTAAGAGACCTGGTTCCAAACTTAACTTTGCCTATTGCAGTGATGACCTTGAACAAGTCATTTTCATCACTTCCTCATCTGTAAAACTGAGATAATACTTACAAATTATTGCATATTAATAACTGGCTTTAAATTACATAATGGCCAGGTGCAGTGGCTCACACCTGTAATTCCAGCACTTGCCGAGGTGGACGGATCACTTGAGGTCAGGAGTTCGAGACCAGCCTGGCCAACATGGCAAAACCTCGTCTCTACTAAAAATAGGAAAAGCTAGCCAGGTGTGGTGGTGTGCACCTGTAATCCCAGCTACTCAGAGGCTGAGGCCAGAAGAATTGCTTGAACCCTGGAGGTAGAGGGTTGCACTCTAGCCTGGAAAACAAAGAGTGAAACTCTGTCTCAAAAAAAAAAAAAAAAGAATTAAGTACATAAGTTGGCACAGAAAAGGAACCAAGTTTTAAAAGGGGTTTTAAGTGTAATAACATTGCATAGGTAGAAAAGAAAAAGGATTTTAAGAAAAACTCTCTAGTCTGCGTCCAATTCCTCACACCTATAATTCCAGCACTTAGGAAGATTGAGGCTGGCGGATTGCAGGAGCCCAGAAGTTTGAGACCAGCTGGAGAAGATGGTGAAACCCTGTCTCTACTAAAAAAAAAAAAAAATTTAAATTAGCTTGGCCTGGTGGCTGGCACCTGTAATCCCAGCCACTCGAGAGGCTGAGACAGGAGAATTGCTTGACCCTGGGAGGTGGAGGTTGCAGGGAGCTGAGATCATGCACTCCAGCTGGGGCCAGACTCCATCTCAAAAAAAAAAAAAAAAAAAAAAAACAACTTCTCTCTAGCTCTGTAGGGGCAGTTCAGATAATGCCTTGACCAGAATTACATGTTTTTCAGGTGGAGAATGTGAGGTGAAGCTTTGAAACCCTAAAAGTGATACGGTAATAGGGCAAGTCTGTCTTTGTACACAAAAGCAGCTTAATAAACAGTGAATTTCATACAGGTAAACCCTATTATAGCCTCAGTTCTAATCATTGGCCTATCTCTTGCATTTTGTTTTAATGTAGAAATAGTCTCAGCTTCACCATTATTCCAGCTTAATTGTTATCTGATATTAACAAGATTTCCCAGTGTGGGCCAGGTTTGGTGGCTCATGCCTGTAATCCTAGCACTTTGGGAGGCCAAGGCAGGCAGATCACTTGAGGCCAGGAGTTCAAGACCAGCCTGGCCAACATGGTAAAATCCCATTTCTACAAAAAAAATAACAAAAATTAGCTGTATGTGGTGGCACACCCCTGCAATCCCAGCTACTCAGGAGGCTGAAACAGGAGAATTGTTTGAACCTGGGAGGCAGAGGTTCCAGTGAGCTGAGATCGCACCACTGCACTCCAGCCTGGGTGACAGAGCGAGGCTCAAAAAAATTTTCCCAATATGTATCTTAAAGTTTGAGAAACACCAACCTAAAAGATACTAGAGGCCAGGTGTGTAGAGGACATTTCTTCAGCCCTAAAGTACCAATTTAAGAGGTAAGTGCTTCAGCCATCAGGGTTACTGGCATGGCCTTTTGCCCCTAACTAGATACCTAGCTTCTTAAGGCAAAGATTCTTTGTAGTGCTTTGCACATAATGGGTGCTGATATTCACTGGATGAATGTATATAGTAAAGAATTTTAAATCTGATTACCACAATTGAGACCATGAAAATGTATACACACCGTGGGAGTCTGCCTTATATACTTTTTATCCCCCTAAATGTTTCACTAATGTTGCAGAATTGTTTACTAGTTCCTGGAGATGTCTTATTAAGTACTGAAATGTGATTTTCCAAAATTTCCTTTTTAATACAGGAAAAAGATAAGTAAACTATGAACAAAGCTTTCATCTCTTGGCAATGTACAGATCAAGTTGAATAAATTAACAGTTGGGTTAACTGGCATGGAGACATAAAAACAATGCTGCAGACTTAGGTTTCACTGTATTTTCAGAGGCCCAAACTGGTAGAATCGGAGGGGTGTAGGGGGAAGTGGCTAGTAGCTGACCAATAAAGACTACCAGCAGCATACCTTATTTTCTTGGGAATGCCAGCCATGCCCTGGCACACTGGCAATGGGTCTATGGAGGGGATAGCAGACAGGCATGCAGAAGTCAGTACCAGGTGAAAACTACAGTACCTTTTTGCTGAATATAGCTTTTCCTTCCTCAGCTGTTTGTCTGCAGCTCTATAGAGGAAGTAAACAGCTTAGACCCTAATACAGGAGGAAATTGTTTAACTACAGGCTTCTTAGTAGCAAGTTAAACCAATTATATTTTATAAAACAGCCTGAGTGGTAGGGAAGCTATCACTTTAATACTCTAGAGGCAGAATGCCACATAGGACTCTGGGTCACATACTTATTTTGCCAGAGTCTGCTCAAAATGCAGTCTCTATTTACAGTTGACTTTGGGCCCTATTTATCTACTCATAAATGTCAAAATCAAGTAGTCTGAACATAGGAGCAGTGACTAAGGTTTGGTCACGTGCCCCTCATTGTTCCAAGAGTAATTTAAGCTATATAGACTTGAAAAGTGTAGGATCAGATTACCTTTTGTCTCTAAATTCTACTCTTCTTTAAGTAGCTGGCACTGTGTCTTTGACAGGTCGTAGAAGTGGGCTCCTTACTATTCTGACCACTAGCAAGTGGCCAACTCTTTAGATACAGGGTAGCTACCTATTTCAGGTGAAAGGTCTCAGTACTCTGCTCACTTGAACTACGCAAAACAGGCCACTACGCTTGGTTACAGTACTGAAACGCTGATCCTATGTGAAGGAGAGAAAAAGAATGGTGAATGAGATACCAGCTGGGTTCTTGACACATTCAGGGCTCAGCAATGCTGGGGTTTCCCTTGTCTCTAAACCTGAAGCGGTATCTAGCCCTGGAAGGAAGCTGAGCCTGTAGCTTAAGCATAAGCACAGTGTATTCAATAAAACATTTTTTATTCTGTACAATATATATGTGTATTTAAATATATATATACATATATATATATATATGCACAGAGAAACCTCAGCCAACAAATCCCTGAGTCCATGGGAACCCAGGACACTAACAAAGGGAGAGGGAGAGTCTATGCCTAAAGAGTAGGAAATATGGCAACATCTTTCCCTTTCCTCCTGGTTCCCTGCAACAGAGGGAAGGGAACAGTCACAACAAATTACTAAAACAAGAGGGTTTAGGTGGGGCAGGAAAAAGGAGTGAGAGTGGCAGGATGGGGAACTCAGATGCCACCAGTCTGGGGATGTAAAACATTTGATCCAGCATGAAAGCCAACATGACTGCAGAGGAAAAGGACCAGACTGATGGGCATGCAGCTGGCCTTTGGTATATGCCAAGTCTTTGCTTGGTAGCCCCACACCTGGGCCAGCACAACAAATAGCACCTGTGGGGCCTATGAGCTGGGAGGGGGTGGGGGAGACGGGGACTGGGGAAGTGGCCCTTGAAGGATAGGGAGATAAAGCTGAGGAAGAGGCCTCAGGCCTCAGCACAGGGTAGGAGCACTACCATTCACTGTCCCTGTGCCATTCAGATTCTGGGCCACCACCACCAGATGGCCAAAAGCAGATACCTCTGTCCACAGTCAGGTAGAGATGGGCAACTTACATGGCCTTGAAAAGAGGTACAGAAAAAGGAGTGCTTTTGAGGTCCACCCCTTGTGTGATGCAGAGACCGCACCAGCAAAACGCCCAGTCCTAGTAGTGGGGCAGAGGAACTGATGAGTAGATGAAGTCAGCTCCAGCAGACAGGCCACAGGGTTGCCAGGGTTGATGAACCAACCAGATGAGCACACAGCTTTTGAGCACCGCCCTGAATCCTGTCTTTTCCCTCAGGACTGCCCTTCCCTGGCCACACCAAGTTTGGCACCTCTCCAGAAAGCTGGCAGGCAGCAAGTGGCAGACAGCACTCCTCTCTCCCTAGCCTATTAACACACAGAGCCGCCAATGGTGGGGCAGCATGGCCGGATGTCACCTTATATATTGTAGGGACAGCAATAGAACTGTCCTTGCCTGGAGGATTCAGAAGCCCATGTTGGCCTGGGCTTCTCCTGCTGCAATGGCTTGTACATCAGTGACATGGCCGATGCCCTTGGTGACACCCTCCCGGAACAGCAGTTTGGCGCCCACCTTCAGGTACTCTGGGTGTTTCAGGAAGCGGAATCGTACCACTGCCTTCTCCCCTGTCCGCAGTTTGTCCTGCAGCAGATAAGTGGTCACTCCCCTGGCCAGTGCCTTCCGTCCCATTCTCTGCCAGCTTTGGCTCCACCCTCCAGGGGCCTATCAGGCCGCTACCCACCCGAAGTGGGGCTTTATTCCCATTGTGGGATCAGGGAGTTCTCTGCCAGTCTGGGGTAGGCCTCCCTCTTTTCTGACCTTTGGAGAAATGGAAGCATGGCCAAGTCCCTCTCACCTTGGCATGGATCTTTTCCACCACTGCCGTCTGACGTACGTTGCCCACATGTACTGTCACCTGGAATCCTCGTCGGAAGGTGGTGGCATGGAACAGTAGGACTATCTCTGCCTCGAACACTGAGCAGATGGTAGGATTCATCTCTGGGCTCACCATCACCATGCCCTGGGGAGGAACAGACCCCAGGCCCAGGAAGGGCAGCTCTAACATTAGACTCTCCCTCCCCAGCCACCCCCAAGCACTTTATAGCTCCTGAATTTCCTCTTCCTCTACACAACTCCAAACACAAAGACCTCGAAAGACAATAATCAAAACTCTCAGAGGGAATGAGTCTTTACCCACCTCCTGTGTCCTCTAGCCCTTCTAACGCTTCGTATTTTTAGGGTCGTGAACACTAAAAATAGTGTTCAATAAAAACTGTAACGTAGTGATTCATATTTAGTTACGTGCACCTCATGAGTATTCTAAGCTGTTTTTATAGTCTACCTAGCTAGACCAGAAGCCTCTTGGATCAGAAAGTGTGTTTCCTCTGAGTTTTTCTGAAGCACCCTAGATGGGTGTTCATTCAGTAGCCAGTCTCCTAGGCACTTTTCTTAGTGTTCCCTCCCCAACCTATTCACCCACCTCACCTTGCGAAGCAGTGCACGGTCAAAGTCCCCAAGCGCCAGTGTAGCAGCCTGACCAGCTCGCAGCACACGACAGGCAGAGCGGTTGCGCTGGATGCTGCATACTCTCAGCTCCAGGAAGCAGCCATCATCCGTGGGGCCCACCACCAGCTGGTCCCCCTCACGGCAAATCCCACTGCAGCCCAAAGGGCAGGTGGCACAGTGTCAGCCAAGGTCCCCAAACCTACTTCTCTATTAGGATCACCCAGAGCATTCCTTCCCGTCTAGGGTTGAGTCCCTCAAGTGGGGAAGAACAACCCTAAATTCTGACTTGGATGTAACAGGGATGACCGCCAGAGTTCAGAATCAGAAGACTAACTTCAGAAAAGACCAGTAGTGATGGCGGACAAAGAGGCACTTGCTGGTTTGACAACACTGAACACCTAATCCCTGAAGGGGCAAGTTATCCCCTTAGGTTTCATTCTCTGCTTAGCAGTTTTAGGCTGGGTGCAGTGGCTTACACCTATAATCCCAGGACTTTGGGAGGCCAAGATGGGTGGATCACTTGAGGTTCAAGACCAGCCTGACCAACATGGTGACAACCCTCCCTCTACTAAAAATACAAAAATTAGCCAGGCATAGTGGCAGGTGCCTGTAATCCCAGCTACTCAAGAGGCTGAGGCGGGAGAACTGCTGGAAACCAGGAGGCAGAAGTTGCAGTGAACTGTGATCACATCACTGCACTCCAGCCTGGGCAACAGAGCGAGATTCCGGCTCAAAAAAAAAAAAAAAAAAAGAAAAAAAGAAAATCTTGGCTGGGTGCAGTGGATCACACCTGTAATCCCAACACTTTGAGAGGCAGAGGCAGGCGGATCACAAGGTCAGGAGTTCGAGACCAGCCTGGCCAACATGGCGAAACCCCATCTCTACTAAAAATACAAAAAATTAGCCAGGCATGGTGGCCTGTAATCCCAGCTACTGGGGAGGATGAGGCAGGAGAATTGCTTGAACCTGGGAGGTGGAGGTTGCAGTGAGCTGAGATCACACCACTGTACTCCAACCTGGGCAAGAGAATAACATTCCATCTCAAAAAGAGTCTTAAGTGACCTCTCTCATTTCCCTATGTGAGATGATGTCAGTTGAATACACTCTATTTTTCTTCCTGGAGCCCAAGACCCACACTTCTCTCTCAGGGGCCTGGAGATGCCCAATAGGCAGCAATACTGTTTCTTCCTTCCAAAGCCAACAAACTACCTTTCTCCAGCTCTTCTGATAGTGAAAACCTAATCTGCAAACAAGCTCATCCTTTAAATGGGCTCCGTTCACTTCCAGGGTCTCCTCCTTTGGGGCAGGATGTCTTTGAGTATATGGATGAGGGCTGAGGGGGGAGGGTAGCAAGCAAGACAATTCACCTGGAAAGTGTCCCTCCAACAACAGTCCCCACCTCTGGTACTGTGTAGATTTCATCTACCTGAAGCCAAAGAAAATGCTATCAGTGGCCTGCCACGTAGGGATGGTGGGTCCAAAATCTCTAAACAGACTCTGGGTTTGGTCTGAATCAGCCCCCCCTTTTCCCCAGCCTACTAGCTGTTTGGGCAGTCAACTACCTGAAACTCTGTCAGCTGCTGCATGAGTTCCTCCTGCTCTTTGCTGTTGGTGAGTGGCGGCAGAATATTCAGAAAGACTTTGAGGAGGTCCAGACTCTCTCCAGACACACTGGACAATGTGAAGATGGGGGTGACACTGTAGAAGGAGGCATGGAATGGACAGATGAAGACAGTTTTAACAGGAGGCAGAGGCCAGAGCCCCATACGTGGAAAAGTGAGCTTTGCTGTTGGCGGCTAGGGGCCCCTCTGTCCTGCTGACAAATGGCTCAGGAACTCTGGGCCTTCTTGTGAGCCAGCCAAGCAACGTTGCACGTGAAGCCCATCCCAAAGCCCAAGGGAAACAGCAAATGCCTGGTATAGCACGTCATCCCCATGGTCCCAGCAATGCTCCAGCTTGGCTCAGGGGAAGAGTCAGACCCTTTAGCAAAATGCCCTTCCACGATCCCAAGCTGAAAAACCCGCTGAAATAAGCCAGAACTAGTCTGGCCCTGGAGGAGTGGGATATCATATCATACTCCTAGGCCCTGGGCCCTGTGGCAACCTTCCTAGTGGATCAGGGCTTTAGAGTCAGGTGGGCTTACTTGGGTGACTGGGCAAACTGCTGGGCAGCAGTGACGGCATCATCCTCAGAGGTGACCAGCATGGGGACCTTGTGGCAGCCAGGCTGCTTGAGGACCCGCTCCAGCTGGCGTACTGTCCTCTCCACTGTGGTCTTGGCACACAGGTCGATCTTGCTGACCACGATGAAGAAGGGCACTTTCAGGGCCAGGGCCAGCCCCAGATGTTCCCTTGTGGTGCCAGCTGCCTCAGAAGGACACCAGGCAGCAGGAGAGAAGAGTGAGAGTGAAGAAGGGAGGAGAGGGAAGAAGAGGAGCGTTGGTCTGTCTCCCAGATTTGAGGCCCAGGGTAGGAGAGTCAGCACCCCCCTTCAGCCCTGTCCCTGCCCTAGTGCCTCGTACCAATCCCAGTGTTGGCACTGACGAGGAGCAGGGCGCAGTCAGGGCAGTATGATGTGAGGCCAAAGATGGTGGTGTGTAGGTACTTATGATGGCCTGCCAGGTCGATGAAGGTGATCATCTTGGAGCTGCTCTCACAGATCTCTTCTGCCGTCCGTGAGTCGCTGTAATTCACCACCTGGCCCAGGGCCCAGGGCTCTCAGTGCCCCCTGCCAGCCCTTCCAACCCTTTCAGAGTTGCCAGGACTTAAACCATTCCCTGGGTGACCCTGCCTTTTAATCCTGACCCCATTTTTTATTTAATTCAGTTGATTCCCCATTTATTTCCTAAGAGGGACAGAGCTTGTTCACAGTCCCCTCAGGGCATTCATCTATACTATTTCAAAAAGCCTCCACACTGCCCCCATCCTATATCCTTCACTACTACCATCCCATCCTGAGTCTGGTCCCACTGGGTCCCATTGATCCCATGCACCTCTCCCTTGCTGTTAAAGCCCAGGATCTCGAAGCTGATGCTGGAGGTTCGGCCAGATTGAATCTCATGCAGGTGGCGGAAAAGGTTGAGCCGAGCCCGGCCCCGCCCATTGTCCAGCTCTCCCTGGGTCAGGACTCCAAGCAGAGTCGACTTCCCTGAGTCCACATTCCCCAGGACGGCCACACGAAGGTCTAGGAACTGTGGACGAATTGCCAGAGGTAAGGGCTCCAATCCTTCACCTCTCTCACTGAAGACTCAAGGGCAGTGATGCTCCCTAGGGAGCAAGTGATGAACTGGAAGCCCCAGGATCCCAGGCCAGGAGAGAGCCTGCCACCACAGGGCCCTTCCACAGAGTGTGGACATGAGGGACAGAGATGGGAGTGTGCTCACCTGTTGATTGTCAGGGACCTTTCGTACCAGCACCTCAGTGATCTTCCGGGGCGTGTCGCTATCATAATCCACTTCTCGCTCTCGGAGAACGGTGATGTCTGCCCCAACCCTGTCACAGCAAGGCCACATATACCTTAGTGCATTAGAGCTCCCAATACCTTAGTGCACTTCCTACTACCCTCTAATCTATTTCTCATTCACAGTTGCCTTTAAAATAATACACAAGGAGCAAAAAAGCCTAGGTCCACTGAGGAGGGGACCAGAACACTAACCCTCCCCACTTCAGCCCTTTGTCAAGAGAAGGAAAGTCCCACCTTGGCCCCCCAGGCCCTAGGTAACTGGGTATGCATGGGTCCTCCCAAGTCAGGTGAAGGAGAACTGGTGAGGAAGGGAAAACATACTTCTCTGCCATCCGGTGCAGGGTCTTGAGGGAAGCTCGCATCTCCTCCTCAGCAAGCCCCACCAGCAGCCCATTGTCCTCTACCCCAATCTGGTAGACGGCCTCACCACGTCCCTCCTGGAGCCGCCACTTCATTTGTGTCACCAGGTGCTCAAAGCGGTACTGGGATGGATTCACCAGCTTCAACTTAGAGCAAGTGGGGTATCAAGAGAAGGTGAAATCAGAGGTGTTCCTCCCAAACCCACATGGTCCCCACTGGTCCTGCTGCAAGGACCAGGACTTTCCCTTTCCACTTAAACTCCTCATACATGATCCCCTGTGATCTCCCTCCAACAGAACAAGGTACAGAGCCCTTAATCTGAACCATATCCTTAAACTGCTATAGATTATGAAGTTGGGAGGCTCTCAGAGAAATTATCCTATGATGGCAAGGACAACCTACCCAGCCCCTGCTTTTCCCCCAGCCTGGGACTCACTTTGTATTCAATGTTTCCATCTTCAGCCTGAAAAGAAACAATGAGCAGTTACCATACACTGTCCAGACCCAATCCCTACTTCCCTTCAATTCCCACTGGAGTCCAGGTAGCTAACTTGAGAAAGCAGGAAACCCCACTGGCACCTGCTCAGGCAAGTGCCTGCCAAAGGTCAGTGGCAGACAAGATCCTCTATTCAGCCCCAGCACAGCCTCTAAGAAGGGAAGGCCAATAAGGACACAGGGAGTCACCCGTTAAACCAGGAACAGAACTCTCAACCAATCCATTCTTTCATCACTGGCAGCACGTTTTTCCTAGATGCAAGATCATCCCTTCCTCCCCACCTCCAGGGCCTCAAACCTGCTTTTCCCAGAAGTCTACGTCTCCTCTGTGCCCAGGCTATTAAAAACTTTCTTTGCCACTGGTCTAGGAGACACCATTTCCTCCCTGCCTGCCCCTCTCAGTTGATGTCATCTAGAGTAAGAGGCTGCAAGAGGTTCTGGATCAGAGCCAAAGGGTGAGCTCAGCAACGGTCACTACAAGCCTGATGACCAAGAAGATCTAGGTGAGAGAGGAGCAGAGCTCCAAAGCTGGGGCTGAGAGAAACAGAAAAACTCAGAAAATGTAATGAAATGGACAGACTCACTATGACCTTTACTGCCTGCCCCCTAACCTTTATGATTCAGCGGAGGTGAAATCCTGAATCCACCCCACAGTCTCTTCTAGCTCCAGGTGGTAGCACAGCACAGAAGCACCCTGTTGCCTGAGACTTCTCCTCCCGGCTGCAAAGGGATATGGGATTTGCCTGTCTGGCCAGTCTGCATTTCTCTACTCCCCTCTCTGGATATTTTATCTTTCCTCTTCCCTTCCTGTCATCATTCCAACCCTTCAGGGCTCTCTGGCTCCCAGACCCTAACAGGTCTTCACTCATAATCTCCACCTCATGGTGCATTAAGATTACTTTTTTTCCCATCAACAAAAACCTTCCAGAAACCTTTTAATCATTTTCCTGGGGATGGTTGGCTTCGGAAATGTGGTACAAGAATGATAGTCTAGAGGCCGGGCGCGGTGGCTCAAGCCTGTAATCCCAGCACTTTGGGAGGCCGAGGCGGGTGGATCACGAGGTCAAGAGATCGAGACCATCCTGGTCAGCACGGTGAAACCCCGTCTCTACTAAAAAAAAAAATGCAAAAAATTAGCTGGGCATGGTGGCGCGTGCCTGTAATCCCAGCTACTCAGGAGGCTGAGGCAGGAGAATTGCCTGAACCCAGGAGGCGGAGGTTGTGGTGAGCCGAGATCGCGCCATTGCACTCCAGCCTGGGTAACAAGAGCGACACTCCGTCCCAAAAAAAAAAAAAAAAAAAAAAAAATGATAGTCTAAGGCCCAGACCAATGGTTTCCAAAGTGAGGTCCTGGGGCCAGCAGCATTAGCATCACATGAGAGCTTGTAAGAAATGCAAATTCTCAGGCCCATCCTCACTAGTAAGAATCAGAAATTCTAGGCTGGGTGCGGTGGCTTATGCCTGCAATCCCAGCACTTTGGGAGGACAAGGCGGGCGGATCACCTGAGATCAGGAGTTCGAGACCAGCCTGGCCAACATGCAGAAACCCCACCTCTACTAAAAATACGAAAATATCTGGGTGTGGTGGCGGCCACCTGTAATCCTAGCTACTCAGGAGGCCAAGGCAGGAGAATCGCTTGAGAACCTGGGAGGCCGAGGTTGCAGTGAGCTGAGATCGCATTACTGCACTCCAACCTGGGCAACAGAGCGAAACTCCGTCTCAAAACAAAACAAAACAAAACAAAAAACTGGCTGGGCTTTGGGGACCAGCAATCCAGATGGTTCTGATACATGCCAAAGTTTGATAACCACTGGCTCAGGCTGTGAGTGTGCCCGCGTGTGTGTGTGTGTGTGTGCGCGCGCAGAGGGAACATACTGCTCTTTTCCCGGGACTCCCCTTCTCCCTGTGGAACAAATTTAGAAGAAGTGGTGGTTACTCTGCCTGCCTCTCGTCCCAGGATGCAGTATCTCTTCCTTATGGCTGCACACGCAGTTGGTCGGGGTGCTCTTCCTGGGATCCCCTTTCTCTACTTCTCTCCTGGGGTAATCTAGATCAGAAAGGGCAGTCCTCCCTCTTCACTCTTCCTCCGTGAGGTCCTGTCCCCTTAGAGTCCAGTCTCTCTGCCCTTCCTCACTGGGGTACCGGGACCGGAAAGAGGGGTTCTCCTCCCGTGCCCCTCCTCTCTGGGTTCTTGACACCGGAAAGGGGGATTAATTCTCTGGGTCCCGCCTCCCTGGAGTCCCGGGCCGGAAAGAGTGGCTCCTTCCCGCCCCACCACTTCTCAGGTGCTCACCTCGGGGGGGCAGGTACGGAGGGTTATTGGCTTTGCCCCCTCTGTTCCTTCCGTTCTTCTTCTTCCCCTTCGGGCCCCCGCAGCCGCTGCTGCTGCCGGCCCCCCTAGCCTTGAGGGTTCCGCCCACGGTCGGGCCCCCTCCGGGCCGGCAGCAGCCGCCGAACAGCTCCGATACCCGCGAGTCCATCCGCCGCCGCCGCCAGCCCCCCGCCCAACCCCTCCCCCGGCCGCCGCCGCCGCCGCCGCCGCCCTTACTGCCACTGCCTTGTCCGGCCGGCCTTAGCAGAGCGGGGTGGGGCCCTGCATAAGCTACGCCCCCCACCTCCCTGGCCTCCCGGTCGCGTCAGAAACAGCCGCGGGGTACCACGGGATATAGAGTCCCCAGGCTTGCGAACTCGCTCAAAAGGACACGCCACCGCCCTACAACTCCCAGGAGGCGTCGCGGCGCAAGTGGCCTCGGGAGTCATCGGAGGTGTGGGGAAGAAGCGCGCCTTGGCGCGCAAAGGCCTAAGGGAATTGTAGTCTGGATTCCAGTCCCAGCGCTCTGAACGGGTCTTACTCTAGGGCTTTAGGGGGTTCAGAGCCTCGCGGCCTGGGGTGGGGACGCGAGGACACCAACGTCAAAGACCTTACATCAGAATCGAGCTTTGTGGGCGCTCCGGGGTTTGGCCCTTTAGGGCAGATCCTAGACAACAGGTTTTGGACCCCGAGAGCTGCAGAACTGAGGGCTATTGGTGCCGCCAGCCTGCTGGCTCCGCCTCTGCCTCAGTTTCTTCCCCAATGGCCCGCGTGCCGCTGGGATGAGTCAGGACGAACGCCAGGGCGGAGGCGGATGGTGATTAGCCAAATTACGGTTGTTATTGTTGCAATGATTATGCCACCTTTACATAGTAGTCACCGCTTTATTACCAGGCTGGCATCATCCAGGGGCTGGTTTTAACAGCCGGAGGCACCGCGGTGGCCCCGACACGAGACCCGAACCCGTAAACCAACTTGCTGCCTTCAGGCTGCAAGCATACCTAAAGCAAGTATTCCTCCTCCCCTTTGTTTTGAAGCAGAACTAATTGACACGAACGGAGGTTGGTTTTAAACTGCCAAGACTGTAGGAGGGGCCTGGCCCCTACTTCGGGCGGGGCTGGAGCTCTGGTTACATCAACCACCACTAGGGCGGGGATGTGGCCGGGAATAGAAACTTGGCGTGGGGCCTCAGGTGATCGTTGACTTTTGACTTTCTTGCGAAGCCATCTCCTGCTCTTTAATGCTGTTGTATTCTACAGAGTACACACATGCAGCGACAGAAACCAGTGCACAGAACACCAGCAAGGCAGGATGGAAAAGCAGTTATGTTGCTGAGCTGCGAGTCAGGACGCCAGGGCTCAATTGACAGCCCCATGGCTGTCTCATTACTCACCACTCACAGTGTGTCCACTTCCCCTCTCTTCTTGAACTGCGAGGTGCTCATACACGATTAAGAAGTTAAACAGACGGGCGCGGTGGCGCGTGCCTGTAGTCCCAGCTACTCAGGAGGCTGAGGTGGGAGATTCGCTTGAGCCCAGGAGTTCTGCGCTGTAGTGCGCTATGCCGACCGGGTGTCCGCACTAAGTTCGGCATCGATATGGTGATTTTCCAGGAGCGAGGACCACCAGGTTGCCTAAGGAGTGGTGAACTGGCCCAGGGCGGACACTGAGCAGATCAAAACTCCCGTGCTGATCAGTAGTAGGATCGTGCCTGTGAATAACCAGCACTCCAGCCTGGGCAACATAGCAATACCCCGTCTCTTAAAAATAAAATAAAATAAAATAGCTTTGCGCAGTGGCAGTATCGTAGCAATGAGGTTTATCCGAGGCGCTATTATTGCTAATTTAAAACTTTTCCCAATACCCCGCCATGACGACTTGAAATAATAGTCGGCATTGGCAATTTTTGACAGTCTCTCCAGAGACTGAATTTAAAAATAAAATAAAATAAAAATAAATATTAAAAAAAAAAAGTAAACAACTTGGCCGAGCATGATGGCTCACGCCTGTAATCTCAGCACTTTGGGAGGCCAAGGTGGGTGGATCACCTGAGGTCAGGTGTTCGAGACCATCCTGGCCAACATGGTGAAACCCTGTCTCTACTAAAAATACAAAAATTAGCCGGGCGTAGTGGCACATGCTTGTAATCTCAGCTACTCAGGAGGCTGAGGCAGGAGAATCGCTTGAACCTGGGAGGCGGAGGTTGCAGTGAGCCGAGATCACACCATTGCACTCCAGCTTGGGTAATGGGTAACAGAGCAAGACTCCGATTCCAAAAAAAAAAATTAGCTGGACATGGTGGCGCGCGTCTGTGATCTCAGCTGCTGGGGAGGCTGAGGCAGAAGAATCGCTTGAACCTGGGAGGCAGAGGTTATAGTGAACGGAGATCTCACCACTGCACTCCAGCCTGAGTGACAGAATGAGACAAAGAAAGAAAGAGAAAGAGAAAGAAAGAGAAAGAGAAAGAAAGAAGGAAAGAAAGAGGAAAGAAAGAAAGAGAGAAAGAAAAACTCTTCTCTTCAGACCTCGGTTTTCCTTGGAAAACTAGAAGCAGCAACAATGACTTACCTCTGGTGATCCCTTCAGGGGTTCAAACTTGGTAGAGTCCATGGCTTCCTCCCAGGGCCACAAGGAGGGAGGCAGGTCTACGAATCATCCTGTCCATGTAGCATAATTTCCCAAACCAGTGAAAGCAGAAAGACCAAAATCTGCAAAAGGGCCTAGCAGACCCTAGGCCAATTATGTAGGTCTTCAGTGGTTGAAAGCATATGTGACTTTTCTCAATCCTGTGCCACTGAGGGAAAGGAGGTCAACCCTAGCCAGGGACACAGGCCTGCTAGGGAAATTGCTGCTCAGAGACAGAGACTAGAAAACTCAGTGAGAGATCTCAAGAAGGATGGGGACTGGAAGAAAGATATAACACCACTCTCCCAACATTCTCACCATGACCAGTCCTGGGCCCTCTTGATAACCAGAGCCTGCTGCACTTGTTTGATAAAATGCTTCCCTTCATAGACATGGATTTTTTTTTTTTTTTTTTTTTTTTGAGACAAGGTTCTCTCTGTCACCCAGGCTGGAGTACAGTGGTGTGATCCCAGCTCATTGCAGCCTCAACCTCCCCAGCTTAAGCAGGTCCTCCCACCTCAGCCTCTGGAATAACTGGAACTACGGGGCAAGCCACCACACCAAGCTAATTTTTGTTTTTACTGTGTGTAGAGATGGGGTCCCCCTATGTTTCCTAGGCTGGTATTCAACTCCTGGGTTCAAGCAATCCTCTTGCCTTGGCCTCCCAAAGTGCTGGGGTTACAGGTGTGAGCCACCACACGTGACCCAGTATTTTATTTTTATTTTACTTATTTATTTTTATTTTATTTTATTTTTTGAGACAGGGTTTCACTCTTGTTGCTCAGGCTGGAGTTCAATGGTGCAAACTCGGCTCACCACAACCTCCACCTCCTCTCCCGGGTTCAAGTGATTCTCTTGCCTCAGCCTCCCGAATAGCTGGGATTACAGGCATGCACCACCCACACTTGGCTAATTTTATATTTTTAGTAGAGACAGGATTTCTCTGTGTTGGTCAGGCTGGTCTCAAACTCCCAGACCCCGCCTTGGCCTCCCAAAGTGCTGGGATTTATAGGTGTGAGCCACCGCACCTAGCCCAATTTTATTTGTTTGTTTTGAGATGGATTTTCACTCTTTTTGCCCAGGCTGTAGTGGAATGACGCGATCTGAGCTCACCAAAACCTGTCGCCTGGGTTCAAGTGATTCTCCTGCCTCAGCCTCCCGAGTAGCTGGGATTACATGTATGCGCCGCCATTCTGCCTAATTTTGTATTTTTTTTTTTAAGAGACGGGGTCTCGCTATGTTGCCCAGGCTGGAGTGCAGTGGCTGTTCACAGGCGCCATCCCACTACTGATCAGCATGGGAATTTTGACCTGCTCCGTTTCTGACCTGGGCCAGTTCACCCTTCCTTAGGCAAGCTGGTGGTCCCCCGTTCCCAGGAGGTCACCATATTGATGCCGAACTTAGTGCGGACACCCCATCGGCATAGCGCACTACAGCCCAGAACTCCTGGGCTCAAGCGATCCTTCCACCTCAGCCTCCTGAGTAGCTGGGACTACAAGCACGCGCCACCGCGCCTGGCTAATTTTATATTTTTAGTAGAGACGGGATTTCTCCATGTTGGTCAGGCTGGTCTCTAACTCCTGACCTCAGGTGATCTGCCTGCCTTGACTTCCCAAAGTGCTGGGATTACAGGCATGAGCCACTGTGCCCAGCCCTATTTTACTTATTTTTTAAGGGTGTGGAGAAGGAGGAAGAGAGAGAATGATTGATTGATTTTTTTTTTTTTTTTTTTTTTTTTTTTGAGACAGTGTCTCCTCCTGTCACCCAGGCTGGAGTACAGTGGCGCAGTCTGGACTCACTGCAACTTCCACCCTCTGAGAGTGATTCTTCTACCTCAGCCCCTCAAGTAGCTGGGATTACAGGCATGTGCCACCATGTATGGCTAAGTTTTGTATTTTTTATAGAGAAGGGGTTTTGCCATGTTCCTCAGGCCAATCTTGAATTCCTGGATTCAAGCAATTCTCCCATCTCTGCCTCCCAAAAATTCTGGGATTACAGGTGTGAGCCACCATGCCCAGCCAGACCCAGTATATTAATCATTGTTTTTTTGCATTTTTTTTTTTTTTGAGATGGAGTCTCACTCTGTTGCCCAGACTGGAGTGCAGAGGTGCCATCTTGGTTCACCGTAACCTCCAGCTCCCAGGTTCAAGCAATTCTCCTGCTTGAACCTCCTGAGTAGCTGGGATTACAGGTGTCTGCTACCACCACACCCGGCTAATTTTTTGTATTTTTAGTAGAGACAAAGTTTCACCATGTTGGCCAGGCTGGTCTCGAACTCCTGACCTCAGGTGATCCACCCACCTCGGCCTCCCAAAGTGCTGGGATTAGTGTGAACCACCACAACTGGCCCATTGTACTTTTTTTTTTTTTTCCCAAGCCAAACTGTATCCAGCTTTATTAAAGATATTTTCCATAAACAATCATGGTATTTCAGGCAGGACATGGGCAGACAATCATTAACGGTATACAACAACTTTCAAACTCCCTTCTTTGATGGACTACCAAAAATCAGAAAGCCACTATAAAACCCAATGAAGTCTTCATCTGATGCTCTGAACAGGGAAAGTTGAGAGTGAGGGTTGACATTTCACATTTAGCATGTTGTTTAACTTTTCACGAGCCGACCCTGACTTTCAGGAAGTGAAATGAAAATGGCAGAATTTATCTGAAGATCCACAATCTAGAAATGGAATCACTACTGTTTTGACAGGTGCCATCTCAGTGGCATCACTGGCAAGTCCAGATTGCCTGACACACTGGTAACCAATGACTGGGGGTCAGGTCGCAACAGATGTCTGGGCTTAAGGGAGTTAAGTCTATGCTGAAAGACGGAAAGGGGCCGGGCGCGGTGGCTCAAGCCTGTAATCCCAGCACTTTGGGAGGCCAAGGCGGGTGGATCACGAGGTCAAGAGATCGAGACCACCCTGGTCAACATGGTGAAACCCCGTCTGTACTAAAAGTACAAAAAATTAGCTGGGCATGGTGGTGCGTGCCTGTAATCCCAGCTACTCAGGAGGCTGAGGCAGGAGAATTGCCTGAACCCAGGAGGCGGAGGTTGCGGTGAGCCGAGATCGCACCATTGCACTCCAGCCTGGGTAACATGAGAGAAACTCCGTCTCAAAAAAAAAAAAAAAAAAAAAAAAGAAAGACGGAAAGGGAGAAGAGGACATAAAAATGAATTTGTTTTTCCATACCACAAGGCTTTTGTGTGTCAAAGTCAGGGAATCCCTCCTCCTGGGAGCCAAGAGGAAGTCTCTCAAAACTAGAAGGGAAAGGCGTTTCCCCACATCAATCCAGCTTTGGAGACATTCTATTAGTGACATATGCCCCTTCCCCCAAAACAACAATGAAGTGTTCTGTGTGCTAACAACATAGCTTAAAAAAAAAAAAAAAGTAAAACAAAATTCTGCATTTTTATAAAACTTGATAAAAAATAGTATTTCAAACTGTACAGTCACCAGAAGTACACAGTTATCAAAAATGCACACACTTCACTTATCATCTCCAGCACCTTCGGCTTTCTGTGCCTGGTCTGTTATGGCATCTCCATTTTCTGCAGGGTTATTCCCTTCCTTGCCAGCATCAGCTTTTCCCTTTTTCCCTTTGGGTACCTTCTCTCCCTTCTTTGCAGGGGCCTTTTTAGGCTTGGGCTCTGGCTTTGGAGGAGCAGGTTTAGCAGACAACCTCGCAGATCTTCTCTGTGGCTCGTCCTTCACCTTGGCTTTATCTCCTTTAGCATCCCCTTCAGCCTTTCTCTTGGGCATGGTGGCGATGGCGGCGAAACGTAGGCGCTGAGCGCGGGATGCAGCGGCGCGTGGGCTTTGGTCGGTCCGGGGGTCACTCTCGCCTCTTCTTCTTCACACTGCTCCCCGTTGTACGTTTTTTCTTTGTTTTTTTTTTTTGAGACGGAGTTTCGCTCTTGTTACCCAGGCTGGAGTGCAATGGCGCGATCTCGGCTCACCGCAACCCCCGCCTCCTGGGTTCAGGCTATTCTCCTGCCTTAGCCTCCCGAGCAGCTGGGACTACAGGCACGCACCACCATGCCCAGCTAATTTTTTGTATTTTTAGTAGAGACGGGGTTTCACCATGTTGACCAGGATGGTCTCGATCTCTTGACCTCGTGATCCACCCGCCTCGGCCTCCCAAAGTGCTGGGATTACAGGCGTGAGCCACCGCGCCCGGCCCTCCCCATTGTACTTTTATAGTATGCTTTGATATCTGGTCCCTACTTCCCGAAACACGCCCTTTTCTTGACCTCTATGACCTGACACTTGTCTTTCTTTTTTTTTTTAGAAACAAAGTCTCACTATATTGTCCCAGAATGGTCTTAAACTTCTGAAGTCTGCCAGGCGCCATGGCTCATGCCTGTAATCCCAGCACTTTGGGAAGCCAAGGCCAGTGGATCATCTTAGGTCAGGAGTTCAAGACCAGCCTGCCAACATGGTGAAAACCCATCTCTATGAAAAATACAAAAAATAGCTGGGCATGGTGGCAGGCGCCTGTAATCCCAGCTACTTGGGAGGCTGAGGCAGGAGAATTGCTTGAACCCAGGGGGCAAAGGTTGCTGTGAGTCAAGATCGCGCCATTGCACTCCAGCCTGGGCAACAAGAGTGAAATTCTGTCTAAAAAAAACAAAAACAAAACACACACAAAAAACTTCTGGACTCAAGCAATCCCTCTGCCCTCAAGCAATTCTCCCATTTCAATCTCCCAAAATGCTGGGATTACAGGTGTGAGCCACCATGCCCAGCCAGACCCAGTATTTTAATCATTGTACTTTTATAATATGTTTTGACCTCTTGTCCGTACTTCCTGAAATACACCCTTTTCTTGGCCTCCATGATCTGACGCTTGTCTTTTTTTTTTTTTTTTTTTTTCTTTTTTAGGGACAAAGTCTTACTATGTTACCCAGACTGATCTCAAACTTCTGGATGCAAACAAACACTCCCCCACCTTGACCTCCCAAAGTGCTGGGATTACAGGCATGAGCCACCATGCCTGGCCCCACTTGTCTATTTTGTTTTTGGAGGCAGGATCTCCCTCTGTCACCCAGGCTGGAGGGCAGTGGTGCAGTTACAGCTCACTGTAGCCTCAACCTCCCAGGCTCAAGCAATTCTTCCATCTCAGCCTCACCAAGTGCTGGGAATATAGGCATGAGCCACCTGCCCGGCCATTTGTCTATTTTTCTTTATCCTTCTGTGAGTACGCCTTAGTCTTCTCCATAGGTTCTGTCTCTCTGGTCATTCCCTAAACATTAGTGTCTTCAACATCCTAACCCATTCTCACTCCACACCATCCCTGGGTGATCTTATCCACTCACATGCTAATGGCTCTTTTTTTTTTTTTGAGATGGAGTGTCACTCTGTTGCCCAGGCTGGAGTGCAATGGCACAATCTTGGCTCACTGCAACCTCCGCCTCCCGGTTCCAGCAATTTTCCTGCTGCAGCCTCCCGAGTAGCTGGGATTACAGGCATGCGCCACCACATCCAGCTAATTTTTGTATTTTTAGTAGAGACAGGGTTTCACCATATTGGCCAGGCTGGTTTCGAACTCCTGACCTCGTGATCCGCCTGCCTTGGCCTCCCGAAGTGCTGGGATTACAGGTGTGAGCCATCACGCCCAGCTGCTGATGGCTCTTAAATACTTATCTCTATTCCAAATGGCATTCCTCAGTGTTTCCATTCATTATCCTATGGAGACATCAAATTCAATCTGTGAAAAACTGAACTCATCTTTTCTCCTACTCACCTCCCACCTCAATAAATCTGGTCCTCTTTTAGTGTTTCCTTCATCTTTTTTTTTTGTTTGTTTTTTTGAGGCAGAGTTTTGCTCTTTTTGCCCAGGGTGGAGTGCAATGGCTCAATCTCAGCTCACCGTAACCTCCGCCTCCCTGGTTCAAGCCATTCTCTTGCCTCAGACTCCCGAGTAGCTGGGATTACAGGCATATGCCACCATGCCCAGCTAATTTTGCATTTTTAGTAGAGACGAGGTTTCTCCATGTTGGTCAGGCTGGTCTCAAACTCCTGACCTCAGGTGATCCGCCTGCCTCAGCCTCCCAAAGTGCTGGGATTACAGGCATGAGCCAGCATGCCTGGCCCCATCCTTTTTTTTTTTTTGAGTCATGGTCTTGCCTTGCTGCCAAGGCTGGAGTGCAGTGGCATGATCATAGCTCACTGTAAGTGTCGAACTCTTGGAATTAAGCAATCCTCTGCCTCAACCTCCTGAATAGTTGAGACTACAGATGTGCACCACCATACCTGGCTTTTTTTTTTTATTTAATTTTTTTTCTTTTTAAATCAAAGCTACTGCAAATCAATTTAATTTTTAATTTTGCAGAAACAGGGTCCCCAGTGTTGTCCTGGCTGGTAGCGAACCCCTGGCTTCAGCACCCTCTTTCCCTCTGTCATTGAATGGCACAAACCTGCTTGTTTTCTTTTTTTTTTTTTTTTTTTTTGAGACGGAGTTTCACTCATGTTACCCAGGCTGGAATGCAATGGCGCGATCTCGGCTCACCGCAACCTCCGCCTCCTGGGTTCAGGCAATTCTCCTGCCTCAGCCTCCTGAGTAGCTGGGATTACAGGCATGTGCCACCATGCCCAGCTAATTTTTTGTATTTTTAGTAGAGACGGGGTTTCACCATGTTGACCAGGATGGTCTCGATCTCTTGACCTCGTGATCCACCCGCCTTGGCCTCCCAAAGTGCTGGGATTACAGGCTTGAGCCACCGCACCCGGCAAAACCTGCTTGTTTTCTTATCAGTCTCTTTCTATTCCTTCTCCTCCGTGCATCAATCACCAAGTTATGTTTACTAGACCTCCTAAATATTTCGAGTTTACCCAATTATCTCCACCCAACTGTGACTACCCTAGTTTAGGCTGCTGCTTTCATTAAGTACTTGGGTAACTGCAGTCACTACCTCTAACTGGTATCTCTCCCTCCTTTCTTATCCTCCCTGTAATCCAATCTCTATCCTACAGCCAGGGTACAGATAAAATTTATAAGAAGTAATTTAATCAGGACACTTTCCTACTTAAAACCTTTCAAAGCTTCCCCATCTGCCTACAGGATCAAATCCAAACTCTCACGTGGCTTATAAGGTCCTGCCATGGTTTGGCTTCTGTTGTTCACTACAGCCTTAACTCTTTAAAATATGAATTCTTTCCATTTCTTGGACAGAGTATGCTCTTGTCTCAAGGTCTGCAGGAGCTCTAGGCCCTCCTCTTTACCTTGCTGACATATTTTTTCTGGGACCACTCCTTCCCAGCCCCTACCCACTCTTGTTTTTTGCTTTCACAGCCCGTGTACACGCTTCTGTAAAATTTATCACATTGTATTGTATCTACAGGCAGTGAACCCCTTGAGCACGGGGTCCGTGCCTGGCTTGTTCTCTGCTGAGTCTCCAGCACCTAGAACAGGGCTTGGCACGAAGGAGATGCACAGTGGGTAGTGAATGCAGGAGAGAATGGATGCGGGAGGGCTGGTGTCTTCTGGAAAGCAGCGCTCGGTGGCTGAGAAGCCTGCTAGGCAAGGGCTAGGTGTACCCTTGCCAGAGTGTTAAAGAAGGAAAGCAGGATTCAAATCCCATCCATCTAGCCTCCCCCACACTGCGACAGTGCCGTGCTTTCTTCCGGCCCATCTCAGCCGGAAGTGGAGGCGTGGGCTTCCCATGATGCCCCGCGGGATCTTTATTGTAACCGCAGAGAGTAGAGGGAAGACGTCGTGATGGCGGCGCCTGAGGCAGAGGTTCTGTCCCCGGCCTCAGTCCCTGGTAAGACATGTGGTTCAGAGTTTGGGGAGCCTTGGGGACCTGTTTCTTCCCTACTGTCACGCCCTCCATTCATTTATCCCCTTGTCCCCTCCCCAGCCCGTCTTCCCTGTCTTCCGGGTGTCCTACACGGCTCTGGCTGTCACTCCATCGCCCTGGCTCATCCTGGACCCTGCTTGACTACACTTTTGACTTACTTCCTCAGATCAGGTCCCGCTGCTTTCTGAGCGGAGCCCTAGTACTACTTCCGAAATCCCCCCACTATGTTGCAGTCAGTTAAATCTCAGGCAACAGGAATCAGGAGTCTCTCCCTGCCTCTCCCACACTGTAGGCTGCGGAGGGTATGTGCGTATGTCGGAGTGCCCCTTTTCGCAGGGTGGCCTGAGGTATGGTGGCCACAGGGAATCAGAAGATTGACTTTGGCTTTTAGGTTTTTAATTTTTTTCTCTTGACCCTCTTTTCACCTTCCAGATTTGGAGTGGTATGAGAAGTCCGGAGAAACTCACGCCTCTCAGATAGAACTACTTGAGACAACCTCTACCCAGGAATCCCCCAACCCTTTGGAGCCCTTTTGCCCAAGAGACTGCATGGTACCAGTGGTGTTTCCTGGGCCTGTGAGCCAGGAAGGCTGCTCTCGGTTTACTTGTGAACTTCTAAAGCATATCATGTACCAACGGCAGCAACTACCTCTACCCTATGACCAGCTTAAGCACTTTTACCGAAAACCTTCTCCCCAGGTAGGCACAGGCTTTGGGAGCAAGTTGGTGGGAAGACTTTGCGGCTCTTAGATGGGAGGCAGGTAGAAAAGGGGTCTAAGTATCACAAGGTCAAGAGATCAAGACCATCCTGGCCAACATGGAGACATCCTATCTCTACTAAAAATACAAAAATTAGCTGGGCATGGTGGCATGCACCTGTAGTCCTAGATACTTGGGAGACTGAGGCAGGAGAAGAGACAGAGTTTCACCATGGTGGCCCGGCTAGTCTCAAACTCCTGACCTCAAGTGATCTGCCCACCTCAGCCTCTCCCAGAGTGCTGGGATTACAGGTGTGAGCTACTGTGCCTAACCTGCATGTTTCTTTTTTTTTTTTTTTTTTTG